GCTCAAAACATGAATTCCCTTTCTTTCGGAGGTTAAACTAGAACACTCCCAGTATTTTCCCATACATTGAGAATACGTGTGTGTTTATCAGCCTTGCATTTCACACACTGCTTCATTCAAACCAATATACCCTCCAGGTTTTACAGCGTATTTTGGCTCAAGCATTATTGCTAGGACGATGTTTACAGCCATATTCATTGTGTTCTGCATAGCCCTGCCCATCAATCAACCTCGTAAGAAAGCAGAAAGGGAAATCGGTGGAAAAGCAGCCGAGCTGCTGAATTCAAGTTAGTCATACAAAACCAGCACGGCGACAAGTACAAACACCATTGGGTCAAAGCAGCTGTCTGCCTGTTGATTCAAGGAAAAGAATATACATGTGCTGCATTACAGTTTGCCTTAAAAATTAATTTAGGCTTCAAAGTGTTAATTATTTCCTCTCTGTTTTCTCTGGGTTAGTGTTTCAAGATGACTGCCGCTCCATACAAATTTATAATATGTATGTGTTTACTTGCACATCTCTAAGCCAACGGGAACGGCAGAGCAGAATTCCAAATCTATCATCATATCTACATGTTGGCACCTACAAAGAGCTGCAGGACTTCAATTTTTCTGGATAAGACTGGAGGGATAAACAAACAAGCCATTCTCATCCTTAAAATACACACACAAAAAGAAAGAGACAGGAGAGAAGAAAAAGATGGCTTCTAAGGTTGTGGATTTCCAAGCATGTCTACGAGTGGCAAATTAGGAATAACCTTAAGGACTGTACAATCCTGGATTTGTTCTGGATTACGTATGGGTCTGCTGACAAACAGCGTGGTTCAAAAGACACAGCACTGGTTTGGCTCCGGAGCGGCGTGTGTTATTCCCAGTCCAGTTGCTGAACCAACTGAGGCACAGGAAGTTCCGTCTGAACATGAGGAGGAACTTCTTCCCTCTGAGGGTGCCGGAGCACTGGAACAGGCTGCCCAGGGAGGTTGTGGAGTCTCCTTCTCTGGAGATATTCAAGACCCGGCTGGACATGATCCTGTGCAGCCTACTGTAGGTGACCCTGCTTCGGCAGGGGGGTTGGACTAGATGACCCACAGAGGTCCCTTCCAACCCCTACTATTCAGTGATTCAGTGATTCAGTGATTCAGTGGATATCCAGACTCTGCTTCACCGGTTTCATCCCCTCCCTCGCCGTGAAGAAGTGCCTCGCAGTATCGGGTGTACCACACCGGAGTGCTAACCCTACAATTAGCTCCTCTAGATGCTACTGTAAAATAAATGGCGACCATGAGATTGATCAATTACGACCTGTTTTTTCATTCTGCTTTAATCTAGATCACAAAGAATTAACATAAAAATAATCAAACTAGGATGAGGTCTGCGTACCCAGGGCCCCCACAGAATTCCACCCAACCCAATGTAGGTGCTCACGCTCTGCCGTGCTGGGGATCGCAGAAACCCCTCGCGCGAACGTCACCCGCAGCGAACTCCTTGGGCAGGAACGCAGGGCAAGCGACGGAGCTACGAACGCGGATCGTGCAGGGCGGGGAAAGAAGCGCTTGATGTAAAAAAGAAACCAAGGGGAGATGTTCTTCGCACATTAAGAGCTATAATGAAATACTGCATCTTGAGTTTGTCGCTGCTTGAAGGAAGCTAGGAAACGAGCAGGAATTCATTATGAAGCTGCTCGAGACCAAAACATGAATCACTGGGTTCTAAAAAAACCCGGTTGTCTAGAGAACGGCGGTAGATGAAAATGAATGGAATCTCTTTAAATTACTCTCTGTATAAACTCTTTCACATTCATTCTTTCTGCCATTGATTAGTATCTTTCTGGGATATGGGTTTTTAAATAATTCCACGCCATACTCCCAGCTTCTGCAATCAAAACACAGAAACGGCTCTCGATTCTGCATTTTTAGTCTTCATTTACAGGGAAAAATGTCTTCTGCAGTAAGAAACCTGAACACCTACTGCTCTTACCCATTTACTGGATTTCGCCAAAAGCACACGCTGCAGGCTCAGTAATCAAATGAGCTTAAGGTTCCTCCATCACTTCACAAATAAGGGGACTTCTGTACGCTATCATGGCATAAAGAAGGATTAAATCACCTCTGGAAAGCCCTGAAGATCATTAAAGTGCTCAGAAGCTGAGACCCCTCCGATCCCAGCCTCCCTGACAGTCAAGCAGAAAACCCCACACCCTAAATAATAAATCGAGAAGGCTTCTCTGCAAACCCCGTCAGGAATGCGCAGAAGGGAAACGTGGCAGGGAAAACACGGCCTTTGGCTACGCTGTTCCTGCTCGATCCCATTCCCGAGAAAACAAGACTTGTGTGACCACACGGTGCGTTTGTGTACGTCCGTCCGCTGCACTGACGCCCTTCCAGCAATTTCTGAAGCATCAGCTGCTGGCAGGGTTAGTTTTACGGCTGGACTTGATGATCTTCAAGGTCTTTTCCAATCAAAGTGCTTCTATGATTCTTTAATTTCACTTGACAACGGCTCTGTTCAGGGAGAAGCAGTAGGCAGAGCTGGATTGCTGTCAGTCGTGGGGGAAACCACCTCCGAGCAAGAAACCTGCTCCGTTCCAAGAACCGCAAAAGCACGATGTCCTCCTCCAGCTTGCAAGTGGAGTCAATTCCCTATTAGACATGTACCTCATCAGATCAAAGATATCCAACCACAACATATAACTCCATCGAAAAGCTGGTTCCCTCATCTCACAGCACGTGGAGCGATATACGAAAACACTAAGGGAGTCCACGGGAATAATATGGAGGGGTTCCAGTAAGAAGCACCATCCTTTTCTACCTACAAGTGCCGAGAGGCAGAGAGTCCTGCTGCTAGGGACAGCCCTCAGCAATTCAGGCTGAAGGATCAGCCCATATGGGTGTCTTCCAGCAGAAGCCACCTACGGCACCCAGCACAGCAGCACCCTGCTGCTTTAGGCAGAGGTATGGCCAGCTGGGAGGGTCCCTACGGCTGTGGTTTTGGAAACAAACCAACAAAAAAAGATGCTGCACTGGTTAGCAGTTTGGTAACCAGGACTGCTTGAAGAAGCGCCAGAACCTGAAGCTTTCATCAAAACAGAAAACACACAAGACTGCCCAAGACCTCGAGCTCCTCATAGCAAAACATCCCACTCCTGATTGTTGAAGTGGATTTTACAAGACTTCGTGTGATGACATCCAAAATTTATTACAACTTTTACGACAAGACCATGTCTAGTAAAGAGTGATGTAGTGACCACATTTACTTGGCTGGATTTGGTTTCTTAGGGCACATAAATATACTTTTGTGCCTTAAGAACAGTCATAGCTGCCTACTAAATCTTGAATAATACAAGGCAGCTTTGTAGACCTTTAAACACACGCACCGACTTGGTTCCGTCTCCTTCACAAATCTGCTTCCTTACTATCTGCCCAGTCAGTGCCCAAGGCCCTGCTCATCTTTTGTCAGCCTCAGCTTTTAAAACGAAACTCTTTGGAAATCGTGCTTTTCAATTCCTATGCTTTTTCAGTACGGAAATCATCACTTTTACAAAGTGACCAAGTTTGTTCCCCCACCTCCCCCAGTTATACAATAAACTGGAAATCTTATCTGTTTTCCTTGGTACATACACGGTGCGTTTTGCACGACTTCTTCAATTTTGCAACTGATTTATTGACCATATGCATGAAAACCCTACTAATAATACAAACTGTAGATTTTTGCTAAGCACTGAATATGGAATATCTTTGGTCCAACAGTTTAAAAAGATCATTTAAAAAGACATCAAAGTAAAATAGGAATAGCTGGACAAAACATTTGAAACCAAACAGCAGTATTTTAGGTTCTGGTTTTTTGGGAGCCGGATTTGAAGTATCTTAAAGTGTCCTGATTTCCAGAAAACAGCCCGAGTCCAACACCGGAAAATTAGGTCCCTTGCAAGTGCCTCCTGTTCATGCTGTTGACCGCTTCATGTGTAAAAATAATACTTTACCTGCACATTGTGCTCTCTAATATACTGGTTACCAAAACTACATGAAGACTAGGTGATATTTTACCAAATAACGGGACTGTATTTGGAAAATGTGAATCCAGCCAGGACTAGCCATAAAACTGGGCAAGAGCCCACACCTTCTCCCCGTGTCTTGCACAGAAACCTGGCCCAGCAGCATCCCAGCCCAGTGCTGGCCTTGCCCTTCCCCTGCCACGGGGCTCCTGGGGCTCACTCGGGGATCTCGGGCAGAAAGGAGGGTAACTCCGAAGGACAACCCCCCACAGCCACCCAAGCCAGCCACGGCCCCACCATGCAAATGGCTCCAAAAGTCACGTTTCCTACCCCAAGGTCTGTTATCCAGACCCACCACTTCTACTTCCAAGAAGGATCGGTCACAAACCCTAGGACCAGCGTTAAACAAGCAAATCCATAAATGACTGCACCTAAGAAATAATAAAAAAACAACCACCCCCACCTTAAATGCAAGTTTGCCTACATTTTACAGGGCCCCCTGTATGCAGCAGAGGGTTTGGACTATTTCCATGTTCATTTTTGCTGCTGTTCTTCTAAAAGCACATTATTCTTTCCCTGTGACATCTCTTCATATCTTTGAAAGAATGCTCTCCGTTACCACAAAATATTTGGCTTGAATCCTCTCGTGATGAGGAGCCAAGGGTTTGGCTTATGTTTTAAAAACAAAAGAAATATTCCTCTAAACAGAAAACAAATGAGTGCAACTGTAACAGTAGATGGAGATAGAGCTCCTAGCACAACCTATGAATAATTCCAAGTCCCATTAGAAGTAACACAGCTTTCTGAATTTCCCTAGCAAACAGCATCTCATTACTAGGATCCAGCTTGACTAAAATGCAAAATGTCACTTTTTTTCAGAGAAAACGCTAAACAAAAGACAATATGTGGTGTAACTACTCAACTGCAAAGCACATCCACTCCCAATCCGAAATTGTGAAAGACAACGCGTGTACACGTAAGCACGGAGATATTAAAAGATGGCTCTTACCTCCGTCCCCAGATCCTGAGCCGGCATCTGAGAAAGGAAGAGAAAGAAATTTATAGTCATGTGCTACCGTACGTCCCGTAAGCACGCAAAGCAAGGCTGTTCCGTTGAGTGCATTACAGCGCACGTTACGTTTGATGCCATCCCTGGGTAAATTAGAGAGATCTAATCTGAAGGTAGCTCGCTCAAGCCATCTTTCTCATGTCTCAACTCCTTTCCTTTCAAGTCTCTGTATCACACTGAAACACCGTAAGCCCTGGAGAGCCGCAACGTCCTTATTAGCCTCTGCCTCCTTTTGTTGTACCGAGACTGATGAAGCTTCGTTCCCAACAGTTGTGCAAAGTTACTTCACTTGGCCACTCCTAAACCCTCACCAAAGCGAATTTTTTAAACCCATTTGTTGGAGGCCAGACCAATTGGAAATTGGTGTCACTATCTTTACAAAAGAGTGACATCTCATCAGATCATAACTAGTTGGAGTAAACCATTGCAACTATTATTACTCAAAGCCTGTAGATAAACGATCAAAACACCGTTTTTCTTGAGGTTCTCGCTGAGTTTCAAAATTGAGTGCTTTATTTTTCCTCTGCTCAACGTTTTGCTGGCTGGAGTGACGAGACTCACAAATTTAGAAAGTGCAACGTCACAAAATTGCCAAGCCCGGAGCTTCACCATGCAACTTTCCAAGGCAGGCAAAGCACAGCAACGCACACACGCGTAGGGTTACCAAGAATAATCCATCCGAGGAGTTGCTTTTTCAGGGAAGGGAGGGAGGTTGTCTTCCCACCCTCCTCCTTAGGGGACGGGTTATCCATTTCTCAGCATCAAGATTAATAGAAAGAGGCTGGAAAGGCTGCTTTGGGATCCAATTACCCTACGAACTCTTGGACCTAATTTACTGACAGCAAGGTCTGGTGGATCTGAACTGCCTTGTCCATGCCACCATTGCTCAAAGTTGAGAAAAGGAAAATCTTTATTTAAAGAAGCCTGCCACAAGCATGGCTTCAAATGGTAGATTTACACAGCAAGACTGCACGGGACAGCTGCAAAAGGGGGCTGGAAAGGAGAGCAGAAGATGGTGGTGTTTTCCTAGTGACCATCTCCTGCACCTTCCTGGTCTGATCTTCCATCCTGGTGCTCCTTCCTCAGTGAGCTACCGAGGAAAGAGGAAAGGTGCCTCCGTTTCCATGCCCTCACGGCTCTGGGAAGCGCTGCTTTCCCAGCCGCGCCAGGCCTGCTATCACCCGCCTCCCGCAACGAACTACCACGTTCTCTGGCTCTTGGGAGCAAAAGGGCCTCTCTCCTCCTGCCCCAGACCTTCAATGCCCAGGTAAGGGCGTACCCTTCAAAAACCTTGGGTACACGGCTGCTCCCTTCTCCGCAGAGCCTCCTCCGTGGGGGAAGGAAAGAGAGCCCAAAGAGAAAGACTTCAGCAAAGCCCCCTTCCCCACCCCTTCTCTGTTTCTGACACCCACGCTGTGTTTCAGAGGGAATGCTTACAATGCCACCATTGCCAGCAGGCAGGCAAGTTTGAGAAAAGATGTAGCAACAGACTACAATTCTCCCTTTAATAAAAAAGTTTGAACCAACAAAGACCAGTTGCTGCGCTGAGAGAATTTACCGCGCTGAAGAAAATCTACGCCACAATAAGCTTTGGCAGCCTGAGCTCCGTTTAATACCAATTTTTTGACAAAAAAAAGTCGCAGTGTATGTTTTTTCCTCTTGAAAATTGTCAGGTAACAGCTTCAGAGAAGAACACCACTTCCAGGGAAAGAAGTTTATTTGCTCTCAGGTGCACGAAGCCCAGAATTACAGCACTGCAAAAAGTTTGTCTAATGCACTTTTTATTGACTCCTCCATCCTCCGCCAAGAAAAAATTCTGCTTTAAGTTTAAAGCACTCTCTCAAGAACAAAGACTCACTCCTCCTGCTCTTTTCAAGTCAACTTCACTGCCCACCTCTAACAGACGCTGAGCACAAAAGAAAAAACATCAAGAACTCCTGCACATCAGCAACTCGGTTTTCCTGGCTGATTTCTCCTTCACCTTCCCAGCTGTTTCACAGAAGCAGAGACACAAATAGCTCACGTCGCTCAGGGTTCAGCGAAGATGCCTCAAGTGCCAGCCGGTTCTTGCACACAGTTTACACAAAGTCTTCCAACAAGGTCAGAAAAACAACCCCTGTTGCACAGACTTGTTCATCAAGTGTGTTTTGGGCCAGATCTTCAGCTGGTATAAATTGGCAGGGCTCATTACAACCAGTGGTCTGCTGGGAATGTGGCCCTGTACGCCTAAGGAAAAACCTAAGAAACTGGATCAGGGGCAATAACGCTCCAGTTCTATCTCTCCAGATTACGGAGAGGCTGGCGGTAAATCCAGATGCCCATTTATCAGACATCTGCTCCTTTAATCTGCTTCCAGCTCCTTGTTGCAGCAGCTCAGGGGCGTACGTAGCGCGCAGGGTGATCACGAGCACAAGATATATATTAAAGGAAGACAGCGACTTCTGGGCTGCACTGCTCAAAACAGCGTGCAGGGTATACTGTGTCATAGGCTGAGAGCCTACACCAAGTTAGTTCCTTCAGAGAAAAGGATGGCACCAACTTCTCACGCCTAGGACTGCAAAGAATTAACCCGTAACCCATTCAAAGTCGGGATTCAGACAGCTTTTGCTACCCACGGGTGATTTTTTCCAGGGGGCCCGGAGCGTGCTGTACGTACCGGTCGCACACGATCCTTCGGACACCAGGAGTATTTCGCTCTGCTGCTTGCAGGCAGCCTGCTTCAAGTAGCATTCGTTCTGGTAGGTATCGCCGTTGGAGCCGCAGACGGGCACGTAGTCATTGTTGCACTGGTGATGGGAACAGAGAGAGAGCGGCGGCGTTAGGCAGGCAGGGGGGGTGGCACAGCATCACTTTGGGTGCCCCCCCGCCCCCTCCCTGTATTAAAACCCTGGGAAAACAGAGGGGGAGACGCTGCCCTTCCCCTTCATATCTACCAGGGGGAGCTTTAAAAAGACAAAAGGCAAAGGAGCAGAGTCGAACAGGTTAGGGAGAAGCAAGAGCCGAGCCATAGGGAGCAGGCTCGCTTCTCCCCTCCTCCTGCACGCACGCACCCGCCGAAGTGTCCCTGCGTGCCCAACTCTCTGCTTAAGCACTTGGCTGTTATCAGAACGGACTGGACAGGGGGAAATCATCTCCGAGAGCCCAACGACCAAAAGCCCTCCCTCTTTCTGCAGAGGCGTTCCCGCTCCCGGCGGGATGCTCTGCCGAGGCCCAAGCTCTCCCCGCAGGGGAAGGCCCGCCACCCGCACGCCGGAGTTACTCGCGCCACGCGTCCCTCCGTCGGCTCAACGCCCCGCTCGGCTCTGCGAACCGCCTGCGCTCTGCTCCCGCCGCCCCTCAAAGCCAGCTCTGCCCTCTCTCGTTTGTTGTAATAAAAATAATCCCGTTTTATATTGAAAATTGGGCAACCTACCGGGTGCAGACATCCTAAGATAATCGCACTCCGAGGCTCAGAAATACTTGGATGTACCCTGCACGTGGTAATTATACCAGGGATATGATTATCTCCTGATTACCCTACTCCTGGTATGCCTCATTGTTTAATTATAACAAATGGAATGATGACAATTATTATTTACAGCGCTCACCTCTGCTTAAATCCAAGTAAAAATTAAAAAGAAACCCTGCTTCCTATGTAGCTGTATTATGCCACAAAGTGGCTGAGGTATGTTCGTAGAACTGAAATTCCAGGGACATCGACACCAAATCTGCTTCAAAGTGAATGACTACAGAAGTGATTAAGACAAACAATTGCATAGATTGCATTAATTGCAGGCCTCCACACAGAGCAGCTGCCAAGAAATTATTCATCGTTGGTCAGAGTGACATTTTGATTGGGCCAAACCAAATGACATTTTCCTTCTGCATTGTATTTTCTTCAATCTTCCCGAGTTGCTGCCCACCCCCAGTGCTTTTTTCCCCCTCGGAACAAGAAAGAAAAGCAGAGGCCACACCAGCACAAACCCTCTCCTTCCGCGCCTAACGACGGGCTTCTCCATGCAGAGATTTTAAACAGTTGATGATTAAAAAGTGTTTCTATGCTATTTGCCCCCTTACGTTCCAAACCCAAGCCGTGCTTCCAGCAGAAAACGCCGGCTCCATCCAGAAGCTCAACAGCAGTTGCTGGAGGCCGATCTGGAATACTTCACCAGAACAATTAACACAACCGTGTGAATTCTCTAAAGCGCGAAGGATGAAGCCACGCCTGCTTTGGGCATACGATCTTCTCGCCACCCACGGGACCTTTGGCCAGAGCAATCCGTGCAGAACTTGGCCCGCAGTATCTCAACAGAGCTCTGTTACATGAAGGAACAATGTCGGATCCTGTTCCCAACAAACAGGGTGGCAAACTCTCCGCTGGATTCGCCTGGAGCAAGGGATGATCTTTCAACGCTGAGTCAGCCACAGATCCCAAAGGCCAGGCGGCCCTACATCAACGACACGCAGCACCCAGAGCCAAATCTGGATCTGCAGAAATGGGCGACAGAGCTGCCGTGAGCTAGGCTGGATCTTCTCCCAAAGGTTGGCAATTTTAAAACGTGTTTGGGAGTCCCGAGGGCTCCAGGAAGGATTAACTCTCGTGGCAGAGGTTTCCCCATCTCCTTTGCCTCCTGCCACGCTCCAGCGTGGTGGTGGAGGGTACTCCATGGTGAGCACAGGTGAGGCCACCTTTTCTTCCTCAAACTCTGCTGGTCCCAGGCGCGTTCCTTCATCTGCTGTCCGTTCTTCCTACCACGGCCTTCAGATAACCAGTGTTTGGATGGAAAAGGCAGGAACCCAGGAGCTGCTGCTGAGCCACGGGGGAACAAAAGTGAGAGCTTCCAGATGGATCCTGCCTTGGCTTTGAGCTGGGATGGCTCCGAAAGCCACCAGGAAACCGTAGTGGAAGTTACACAGCCAAGAAAACAAGACTATCGATGAGAAGGTTGTGATGTTAGTCACCAGGTAACTCGTGACCTGTTAGAGCTAGGCTCTTGTACTTGGCCACGCTGAACCCAGCACTCGCAGCTCTTCACTCTCACAACATACTTCTTGCTGGTACCAGAGGACATTGGATGTTGACTGTCATAGTTTTCTCAGTCTAGTGACACATTCTTGGCATTGGTTTGGGGCTCAAACAGACCCAGCCCTAGATGCGAGCGTGATTCTCTCTCCCTAAAGTAAGGCCTGATCCAGCATTTGGGGAAATCCATGTCAAATCTGCCACCAAGCCCAGCAGCAGTGCCATACTGCCCACTTCTTCTGCACGTGGGTTCACAAAAAGCAGCCATAGAGCAGCGAGGTGGACGTATCCAAGTCAACCAGCACCAGTCAAAGGCTGCCTTCCTCAGCGCTAGCAGCCTTGAGTGCCCACCATCATGGCCGGGGACAAACCAGCTTCGCAAGTGTTGGGGTCAGTGCTGCGCACTCAAAGCGTTAAGGTTTATTTTCTAAATGACATGGTGAGCTGTGCAGCGCCTCCTCCTGGTAACACTGTTAAAAGCTTGTCCTCCTCCTACTCTCATGGATTAACTGCTCCCCAAACACCACCTACATCTGGAACCAAGTACCACCAAGATATACTCTGGAAATATAAAAGCTGCAAGGTGGCCAGGTGATGTTCCAGCTCTGCAAACACTGAAGCACGCGGGGGATTCAACATGCATCAAAACAGGGCTCCTTCCTCCCTTAAAAAACACCAGTGAGCATCCACAGTCTCGGTGACCACAGAAAAAAGACGTGCAACATGGATGGAAATACCCTGGGATACTTTTGGATACGTTCATGAAGTCTTAAGAGGGAAGAGCAGCCAGGCTGCCAGCCCTAGGGCTTTGGGCAGACTGAGGCCCAGACCTTGTCTCCAACCTTGTCTCTGGTGTGGACCCGCTGAGTTTGACCCGTGCCGGAGGGAAGGGGTGGTGGTTCCCCCCATGCTCAGCCCCGCTGCTGGAGCCAGCACTGGCCCAGTGCCTTCCCCCCGCCCCAGCACCACAACCTCTGCTTGTCTGCAGCAGGTCTGCATTCACTGATCGGAGCAGGACACGGTGTTCTCCAACGCAACACGTGTCTCATCGTGAGGAGTCAGTGCACAGGCCATCGTTTCGCAGCAGCGTGCGACAAGAGAGCCAGCCAGCATGAAGCCCTTTCTTAGCACGTGCCTGCCGGCTCTCCAGGGATGGAAGCCTAACTCGGGTGTTCCAGAGCAGTCTGATCACATTCGCCCTTTCAAACAGCAATAAATTCATTTTATTAACTCCACTTGGACAGACATGATGTGTCTGCGATTCTGGTTTGAGAAAAACCCCCCCCCAAAATGGCAGCAGCCCTGCCCCCCCCCCCCAGCCCCTCAAGACATAGGCTGGGCAGCCCAGGACTTTTCAACAGTACGGAGGCAAAATTAGCTTTCTGTCCTGGTCTATTCTCTCCAGCTGCAGTTAAAGCCCCTGGCAAATTCTGGAGAAAACATAAAAAGTAATTACAGTGATGAGGAGCCTGCTATCGATCTGCTCACTATCACCCCAGAGAGCTGCCACCGAAAGGGGGGCACCTGAATTCTGATGGGAGGATCCCCTTACTCGTGACATAAATTACCTGGCCAGCTCTGCCTCACTCTGCCAGCCTCAGACTCCGCACTGGAAATTAATTTTCTACTCTGGTGGCACATCTTTTTGGCCTGTCACGTTGTCCACCGATGTTACAAGAGAAGCGAACATCCCCCCCAGCTCTGCCCGCATCAAAGAGGACGTGTTTGCCTACAGAAGCCCCCAGCACCGCACCGCTGGCACAGGATCAGCCACAGGTAATCTGCCCTCCAAGGTCACAGTCAGCCCTGCGGCTCCACAGAGGGCTCAAACCCAGACAAAGAGCTCTGAATGTTGACAGGGCCTGATCCAAAGGCTGCTGAAACCAAAGGTCACTACTGATTTCCACCCACTTACTAGCCATCAGGCCCACAACTGCCCGACTCACCCTCTTGATCTCATTTACATATTCATACACCACTTCTCTGAATTCACAGAAGCACAGTCTGGTAGGGGTTGGAAGGGACATCTGGAGCTCATCTAGTCCAAGCCCCCTGCTAAAGCAGGTTCACCTAGAGCAGGCTACACAAAATTTCCTTAAATCTGTCTCACCTGGGCACTGCTCAACTCAGCCTACAGATAGCCTTCACCTGAAGAGAGGAGACAGCACAACCCAGAGAGGTTTACCCAGCTTCATTTACCCCGAACCACCAGGGACCAGCATCGTGCCTGGGGAAAACAGAGCTCCCGATGCCTTCTTCCCTGCCGGCAGTAACCTCTGGGCTTGCTGCTCCTGGGCTACGAGCCCACTGCTTTACGCCAAATGGCAACGCCAAACTGGGACCAAAGACAAGACCCAAGCGCTCTCTGGGGCTGCTCTACGTTCCCAGAGCTCATGGCACGACATCTGCCCTAGCTTCCCACCAGGTGATAGGACAAGTCACAGACATCCCACTGCGTTACAGGTTTTTGTTAGAAAGAGAAAACGGACCAGCCCTTAAATCACTGCACACGCTGAGCCAAGGCGAATGCTCAAAACAGCATCCTCACGTTGAGTTTTTGATGGCACGCAAACCAGAAGTGGAATAAAAAACCCCCGTAGTCAATATGGATTCTCTCCCAACATGGGGAACACCAGCACTCCAGTAAACAACTCCCTTGTTCTTCTTACAGAAAATCCCTTCTTTGTTTTAAATACAGAAATTTATCACTTGGGCTTTTTCTCCAAGGACGCATTTGGCTCTAGAAATGCAGACGATACTTGTCATGCTTCAAAGCTTAATGATAAATTAATCATTACAGATGTGCACAATCGTGAACTGTGCACTCTTTGGCCTGCCCTGCTGTAAACACTCCAATCAGCGTCACAAGTTCCCCAACTTCACAGAACCACATTAAAATGCAAGAAACCGCAGGGGCGTAAACGTACAAACAACATGTGCTGGTACATGCTTAAAACTCCTTTAATTTGTTCAGTTTTTATTCAGGTCATTATGTAAAGCACAGCTGTTTTCCGAGTGGGCTAAAACATATTAAATGGAATCCTTCGTAATGAAACCGTCCAACTCGGAGAACGCCTGAGGTTTAGATGTAGCTGCAAGAGGGGGAGAGGAGAAACAGGAGGAAAAACCCCCACTGCTCAGCAACAGCCCCTCTAAAACTACACAAAACCTGCGGGAAGTTCGTGATTTGGGAAGGGAGGGATCGCTCCTTAATCTGCTCAGCTGGGCAGATGAACAGGCAGAAAGCAGCACTGTCACCACGCAGCCCTTCCCGAAAACATTGCATAAGCACATTACAGATCCATTTCTTTAACTAGATCAGAACTCCCAATACAATAAGCCACGATCCGTATCAGAAATGAATTTAAAACGGGCTCTAAAGCCTTGTTAAAAGGGCAGAGACGGAAAATCCGAGGCGCACAACCTGAAACTGCGGACCCGCGGGGACGTTTAAAGCCACAGCATCCGCATTTTCCCGGAGAAACTTGCGTCTTCCTGACACCAGTTGGTTCTCCTGCCAGTTTTCACACACGCTGCCAGGTTTTCCCTCTAACTTCTCTGCACGCAGGGAAATAAATCGCCGAGCGATGGGTTATAAAGGGAGATCCTTGATTTGTATTCTCGTTAGCGAATTAAAGAGAAGGAAACATCACTCTTCTTACCTTGAACTGACAGACACAAGTCACGCTGTCGCCAATCCTTAAACACTCCCCATCAAATTTACAGGTATTGGTGTCGCAGAGAAAGAGATCGTTTTCTCTGTCATCGTAACCTCGAATGTAAAGAGGAGAGGGAAAAAAAAAAAATGTCAGCTTGGTCTAGCAAGAGGAACAACGCGGGATGATTGCATTTTAACACACGCAGCACAATAACCTTGTTGATGAAACGACAGAGTCCACATTTTCTTTTGTCCTTCCCCGTCCTCAGTTTTCCACTTTTTTTCCCCTCTCGTTCCTCCCTCGGTCTCTCAGTCCTCACTCCCCACAACCTCACGGACTCTATTTCCTCAAAAGCCACCCTGTAAATACGCTATTTCACGGCTCGAGATCGGAAATGCCATCAACTTCTCCCCACCCGCTCGCAGATCTGTTGGACGCAGGTCCGAGCTGGAATTCCTCCAGCCCGCGATGCAGCGTCGCCCCCGATAATAAAGACAAACAGGCTGCGTGCTTCCCGTGACGGTCTGCCCGATCCCAACGAAGATTGATCGCCCCCGAGTTCACGCAAGTGCCAGGCTCCCAGCGAGCCGCCGAGCGAACCCGGCTCTCCGCCTTCATTTCCTCCAGGAAAAACCAACGGATCTGACTGCAGTCCACCACGGGCACGAGCGTGAATTTCGGACTCCGCTAGCCGCCTTTCCCGCTCCGACAGCATGCAGCGAGGTATTACACAACCCAGCTCCATCAGACTCCGACCCCAGTGAGATCCAAACCCATCGATTTGCTTCTCCGAACGTCCGAGCGCTCTCAAACCCATCGCCGCACGTCTAAAACGCAGAGCTCGCAGCGGAACCCCCTCCCCGGTCTCACAGCCTACG